CAGTGCACAAAAAAGCTAGGACAACTGAGGGCTAAAAGGTTTTGCAAAATACTATGGGACAGCCATCATTGTAACTGTACAAAACTTGCTCTCAACTTAACATAACATAAAGGCACCATTGATATCTTTCCCCATTTTTGAAATACTGTAAAAAATTGCTACATATGGCACATAACACATTTGTACATACGTATATTTAATTTATAAAAGTTTTTTTTTTTTTTCCTCTCCTGTTTTCTATCAGCGGAATTGCTAAAATAAAATAAATCGTTTAATTTAAAGGTGGAATACTTCATTATATAAAATAAAGTTTTACATGTGAATCTATGTGGTTTATGTTTTATACAGCAATAGGGTCTTGGTTAGCTATCGCACTGGACAACCTTGCTTGCAAGTCTTCCGGCGTGGAGAAGCGGTTTGCCGGGCTAGTCCTGCTCTCAGCCAGCCGGAAGGCCGTGGCCGGCTCCAGACCGGCCGCCCCGGGGTTCGGTATGCTCAGGAACGGTGTATCCTCGCCTATTCTTTCGTCTTCGGTCTCGGTCTCAGAGCTGCTGCTCTCAGAGCTCGTGTCGGAGTCCACTTCCACCCTGCTGGAAATGTGGCCGTTGGGCTTTGTTCTTTTGACCCTCCGGCTGTTGGTGAGTTTCTTTGGAGGCTCCTGTGCTGGTTCGTACTCCTGCGTGGTCTCGTACTCCTCATCCTCCACTATCCGCAGAGGGCTCGGCGGCAGGCTGTTGCTCTCGTGGGTGGCGTTGTGGTGAAAGGAGTTGAACTGCTGAAGGTGGTGGTCGTACTTCTCATGCAGCTGCAGTGGGGTCACCAGGAGCAGCGGCCGCTCCTCTTCTATGAAGGGACTCACCGCCACTGAGGGGATGGAGACGGTCAGGCTGGAAGCCGGTGGTGACATTGTGGAGGGGCGGGACTTGGGAGAAGTCGGAGTGTGAAAATCGACGGGTGACATGCGAGCTGGTGTGGTCATAGCTGAGACATACCTGAAGAAAAGAGACGGGGAAAGGTTGCAAGCACAGGAGCAGTGGTGACCTGTGAAGACAGCAGCTCGTGTGGACTGGGAGAGAAACAGCAGGGATCCCTTAAGATCCCCAGCACAGGGGCTACCAGGCAAACTTTCCTGTTGCTATTAATCCTATAAACTGCTGACTTCTGGGACGCCAGACAAAAACATTTAAGAGCAGGAGGAGCACAGCAAAGCCCCCAGATCTGTTTGCCTCAGAAGAACCATGGAGATGCTGTAAATTATTTGCCAGAATAACTTTCTGGAATTAATCCAGGAATCGGATTCAGAGACAGAGGGGCTGCCAGAAACAAAATGCATTTGCAAGTATTTTCTCAAAAGGGAAAAAGGCTTCTGCACTTCTGTAAGGACTTGACCAGAACTTTGGGTGCATGTGAACAGACAGGAGGAGAGAAAGGAAGGGAACCAAAGGGCAGTCCTCTTGGGGCTTCATCCTCTTCTGGCAACCAGACTGTCTCAGGCTAAGGAGGAAAGGAGGAAGGTAATGTTTGGATAAAATCTAGAGCCAGATTCTGCTACTTTTAATCAATGGGGCATTCAGAGAAGTATTTGCAGCACCATCCCAGCAGTTTTGTGCTGCTCCACTCCTTGGGTGCTAGTTACCTTGGCTTGTAGGTCTGTCTGCAAAGAAACATGGAGTATCATTTGTCCTCATATGGGAACAAATGCTAAAAGACAGGATTGTCTGGCCTAGTCTTCATGATATCTCTGCAAGATTTGTCCCTATTCCTGTGGGAAGGGTAGTGATCAAAAGTGATTTCTGAAAATGAAGCTCAGGTGCCATTTCAGAGTCTGCCCCAAAGAAAGAGGACAAAAATTGTGAGACTCTCAACTGGTTTGGATCAGTAGAGATGGAGTGGGGTCATGTGTATTTACACCAGGTGAGGATCTGCCTGAAACCCCTTGATCGAATGCAGAGTGCCCAGCATGAAACCTTGCACAGTTTGGTTTTGCTTTCATTCTTGTCCTAAATTCACCTGCTTGAATTTAAGCTGTGTCCAAAGTTAAAATCTTAAGCTCCATCTCTTACCCAGGCCCACTGAGAAAAGTTATGTTTCTATGATTGATGTAGTTATTTAATTTTTCATCAGCGATTTATTTATCTGAGTCTGAAATTACCAAAATAATCTGAATCCAGCTTTCTTATCCAAGCTATGACTCAGTTGCACATATTACACTTGATTTAAACAGAGTTATTGGAAAAAGAGCAAACAGGACAGATTCTGAACAGATGTGTAGTAGAGTAAGTTAAATTCACTAGAGGCACGTTAATTTACCTCAACTGAGGAACAGGAGAAAGAAAAACAAAACTGAAATTATACATGGGAATTAATCAAGTTGGTTGAGCAAAGGACAATTAATAGGTCTGTGTATTGGATGAATTAAGTCAATCTTTCTCCTTCCATAAGTGAGCTTTTCATCCCTTTCACATTTTTAAATAGGCATTGTCTGAAAAAAACGAAACCTTTTTGCTTCACCACCTGGTACAGTGCTGGATATATATCTTCATGACATACTGGATTTTAGCTAAACTGGTTCTGTTAACGCATTAAGTTAGTTAAATGTGCTCAACATACTGTACACACTTCCAGCAGCGTCAGGTTACTCCTACTGGAGTGTTTGTGCATTCACACATTGCTGGTGTGTTCCCCCCACACCGTAACAGGGCACTGCTAACTAGCTGCTGTCTGCAATCTGAGGCACAGGAGCTGGAGTTGTGCAGCTCCAGCCCATCCTGAAAAGAAGGTTAAAAGGTGATTGATTTATCCAGCTTCATGGTCAACTAACTATGCTGACTCAGTGAAAGGGGATCTGCGTGTACCCACGGCCATCCAACCAGCATTAACTAGTTATGTGCTACCAACTTCATCGTATAGCCCAGCCTTTCATACAGAGATAGTGTTTTTTTTTATTTTCTCTTCTCTAAGACAGCTAAGGATATCCAAGATATAACTGCTTGGGTTCTGTGCTTTTGTAAACAGGTGGCAGGGCATGGGATCCAACAAACGGATGGGGTAATGCAAAAGAACCCCTCATAATGTCTGTTGTATTTCATTTGAAAATTGTGAGGCATCTGGTGGAGGAGTACAGCCTTGATCTACCAATTCACACCATATTTGATGGCTTCAGGAAGTAATTCATCAGCTCTCACATTCCTTTAGGTTTCAGAGTAATTTTTAATTGCAAGTAACTCTCATTCTCCCCCTTATACACACACACATACAAGCAATCCATCTCAGGAGCAATTGGCCGTGTATTTCCTGCTTGCTAAAAATAGATCAGGCCTGCAGTTAATGCCCAGGGAACTATCATCTCCTGCATTCCAAATTCTTGATCGCTTCAGACACATCAGGCTGACAATGCCTTATGAATTATCACAGAAATGTTGCTGCTTTTCACTTGTAGCACAACCTTCAGGAGACACAATAATTGATGAAACGCCTTCTTTCTTCTCAGTGAAATGAAAAGGAATATGCTGCTCCCTGCCCTCCAACCTTCCCCCCCCCAAAAAAAAAAAAATTAAATCTAAATGGTTCATATCAGAACTGTGCTCTGGGTGTCCTAGGCAGTGCAGGCAGACAGCATGAGAGATCTTCAGCTCTCACACGCAGATGCCCAAATATACTAATCTGCAATACTCGCCACTGGCAGGCGTGTGCCTGGGCGTCCTGTACAGTTCCCAGGCTGGAGACAATGTGGTATTTACTGCGACAGGTCCTGATCCAGCAAAGCACTTAAGCACACGCTGAGCTTTACCCCCGTGAGTAATCTCGCTGATTTCGATGGGGCTACTTGCACGATTAAAAGTTAATCTTGCTGAAGTGCTCTGCTGGACTGGGGCCACGGCTGTTTACGTCCTGTGAGCCAACTATCTTGAAATTAAATTCCATGGTAAATAACGGATAAGTTACAAGGAGAGAGAGCTAGGTTACTATCCTCAGTGGCACTACACTCAGGGTCCTTGCTCAGTGGGCCCTCTTCCTGCTGCTAAGCAGTTTTTTGTATGGCAGAGGAAGTACCACTGAAATGGCTTTTGCTGCGCTTGCACATTACTTTTTCCAGAAACCACAGTTTGTCTCCTGCACAGCTCAGTCTCCTTGGGGATTGCCTGGCTGCATTTTTGACATCACGGACATCCCACAAGATCAAATCTCTTGTGATTTCAAAGTGCTCAGAGAATTGGTACGGTTTCCCTTTTCTTCTGCCTATGATTCCTGTGAGCAAAACTCTCTTTAAATGTCTTGTTTCTTCTCAGTCTTTCTTTTACTATTCCGAGGCCATCACATGCTCTTGAGGCAAAGTGCTAGCCTAAACCTAAGATGAATTTTTTCAGTAGAAGTTTTCTTGCAACTCATGCACTTCAAGGCAGACCTCAGGAACTGATGAACCAGCCTTTCCAGAATAAAAATTGCTTTGTTGGAAAGCTCCTGGCTAGTTTTATTTCTAACTACTCCTGATTTAATAATGACTTAGGTCCTTCTGGCTTGCACTTTGTGTTCCTTGTTTTTATTTAATAAAAAGGTCAAGGGGAATTTTTAAAGAAGATAAAAGGTTTAGGAGCTGGAATTCTCCAGAAAGGAGGTGGTGGCATAATTTCTAATACTGCTTAGGAGTCTTTAGTGCCTTCCTCCTATGGATCAATACATTGCTCTCTCCCTACAAAATCCCTCAGTTTCTTCATTTGCATCTTCTAACAAAAGGATAATTGGGCAAAGATCCGTTTTTACTTTACAGTGGAAATTTTTGACTATTTACTCCAGCGTAGCTTTTCCAAGTGTGAACTACTGGCTAATAGGAATAAATCCAGGAGAGGCAAGAAGGGAAGAAATGCTTTTAGCACGCTCCAAACTTCTATCAGGCCCTCCACAAACGAGGAGGAGATGTGCGCCCCGCAGGAACAGCTGCGCTCTTGGGTTTCCTCCTGCACTCCCAGGAAACCGTCTCTGGTGTGTCCTACCTTTCGCTGTGAGGGGAGTCTCGGTAGGAGTCGGGGGTCTCTCTCGCATGCCGGAGGAAGCTGCTGCCTTCCCGTGGGCCGCCGATGCCGTTGAGGCGGCCGCGCGGCCCCGCCGGGCTGGCGTGCCTGCTGTTCTCCATGGAGGAGCTGACGAGCACCGAGTGGCTCTCAGAGAGGATGCTTTCGGTGTGGCCGTTACTCCAGCTGGAGAGCAGCAACCAGGAAAGGAGAAAGGGAGGGAGTTAAGAGTGGGCTTTGCTGGCAAAGACATAGGAGCGCAAGTTTAGCCAGGGGGTAGGAAGCGGCTCTGCTGCCGCTCAGGACGTACGGGGTTGGTAACCGGGGCTGCAGAGTTTTGTGAGTTGCATGAATCCACACGCAGCAAGATGATTTTGCATGTATGGATAAAAGGAGAGGGAAGGAGGGCTTTCCAGTCACCACAGCTGTCACCGACTCAGCAATTTGCACGTACTAAAATTCAAAGTGACAGTGTTGGAATGCCGTTCAGACAATAAAGCTCTTTGTAGATTCACGGAAAGATAATCAGTTAGGTGATACGACATCAAATATTGATAGTCTTAAAATGAAAACACTACGAAGGGAACATAGATTTTCCCCAGTCTGTTGTTTCACACATCTTTTTGGTTTTGCAACAGCAACAGGTCATGTATTACAGGTGCCATTTGCCTTCCCCCTCCAATACCTGTGGCTAGGTGTCTGGGTGACTGTCACGGAGTGGTGTGTTGTTGAGGTGTAGTGGCTTGTAGAAAATGAGGTCTCTGTTTCTCGCTCGATGACATGCTCACTGGAGATTACATTTTTCGAAACGTACTGCTGAAAAAACCCAGACAAACCTCAGGTTTACAAACTGTAATTCACAGCACATTTGTAGACACAGTTTCCTATCCCTTCTCCCCAGATTGCAGTCTTTTACATGTGCCAAAGCACAAATTTTGTCACTTAAATGCATGCAGAAACCATACTGACACACTTGAGCACATTCACGTACACCTCTGCATACATACCCCATCTAGACTCAAAGGAGGAGGAGATGAATGAGGAAAGTGGTAACGTTTTGCATTCCAATTGAGCTATAAACAACATACGTATTTAACAAGAAGTCCTCACAGACAGAGACCTGGAAAGGCAACCCGCCCACCACCAGATATACCAAAAACACTATTCTCTGATGAAGAAGTTGGCAGTAGTTAGCGGTAGTAGTTTCTCCACCTGAGTGGAGAAGGCCAAGAGAGATCAGTCAGCAGCCTGCCGCAGGTAGAGGTTTAAAAGCTGTGGGGTGAGCTTCCCTGAGGCCCTGGCTTCCCTGAGGCTGAAATGTGGGCAGTGAAACCTACATTCACCAGCTGGACGTTGTCTGGCGGAGGGTTGGGGTGGTGTGGCCCGTTGGCCATGTTCATCACGTTGTTCCTTTCCGAGCGCAGGCTCTGCCGAAGGCGGTCGTGCAACTTCTTCCTCTGCTTCCTGTGCACGGGACACGGAAAGGGTTTTAGTAGGCAGTGGGAAAGCAGCTGCACCTTTCAGCACATCGGTGTTGGTGATAACAATATAACATCTTTTTTTTTTTTT